AGGGTGGTCGAGTGCAGTGTCGACCACACAGTCTCTTTGTACAGTATATATTAGTATACAGTGTGCAGTATCCACACTCTCCCCAACGGCAGTCACGCCTGTGGGACTCGCTCTGGTATAATTAATAAAAATCCTGCCTGCGACCCGACGAATTTTTGGCCACAAAATAGTAGACATTTAGAAATTTTTGGTGCTAACTTAATATCAGGTTTTAACTACCCTAACAAGCCAATTTAACTTGACTAATAGTTAAATGGCCACATTATGTCACAGGAAACATTAAAGACCACCTTCTTGTGCGAGTAAATCAAGAAGATAAAAATTCAAATGACTTTCTAGACTTAGTTAACAAAAGACCCAACATAAAAGAGTCCCACACATCTCATTACTACTTTACAAACTTGTTCTTCTCTCACACTAATGTTATTACGGTAATTAAGTTGTTCACGAGGTGCTTTACGTCGTCTCACCTAACCTAACTATAAACTAACCTAACGTAACCTCTACTCGTATGGATTACTGTATCACCTGGAGGTACTGCGAGTATCTGGTGAGGGCTGCAGAAATGGGACAATTGATCCATTCACACTGATCTACCCACACTGATCTATCCACACTGAATCACCCACACTGAACCACCCACACTGATCTATCCACACTGAATCACCCACACTGAACCACCAACACTGATCTATCCACACTGAATCACCCACACTGAACCACCCACACTGATCTATCCACACTGAATCACCCACATTGAACCACCCACACTGATCTATCCACACTGAATCACCCACACTGATCCACCCACGCTGATCCATCCATACTAGCCCATCCAGTATTGTGTTGAGCGCTTATAATAATAATATATTGACATTATTACCAACACAACAAGATAGATATTTCACCATGTTGGTATTACTGACAACATCATTACCAACACAACAAGATAGATATTTCACCATGTTGGTATTACTGACAACATCATTACCAACACAACAAGATAGATATTTCACCATGTTGGTATTACTGACAACATTATTACCAACACAACAAGATAGATATTTCACCATGTTGGTATTACTGACAACATCATTACCAACACAACAAGATAGATATTTCACCATGTTGGTATTACTGACAACATCATTACCAACACAACAAGATAGATATTTCACCATGTTGGTATTACTGACAACATCATTACCAACACAACAAGATAGATATTTCACCATATTGGTATTACTGACAACATCATTACCAACACAACAAGATAGATATTTCACCATATTGGTATTACTGACAACATTATTACCAACACAACAAGATAGATATTTCACCATGTTGGTATTACTGACAACATCATTACCAACACACCGTAATATAAATCTGTTTCTCTTGGGTGTCTCTGTTACCCGACCATGTTCACGCCTCGTTGGCTACACTTGTTAAACACGATACCGCGCAATGGAACTAAACTTGATCTGTTCTGAATACAAGTGACAGGTGATACATGGAGCTGAGAGGTGATACATGGAGCCGAGAGGTGATACATGGAGCCGACAGGTGATACATGGAGACGAGAGGTAATACATGGAGCCGAGAGGTGACATGGTGATACATGGAGCCGACAGGTGATACATGGAGCCGACAGGTGATACATGGAGCGAGAGGTGATACATGGAGACGAGAGGTGATACATGGAGCCGACAGGTGATACATGGAGCCAGGTGATACATGGAGCTGGAGAGGTGATACATGGAGCGAGAGAGGTGACATGGAGCCGAGAGGTGATACATGGAGCCGAGAGGTGATACATGGAGCCGACATGGTGATACATGGAGCCGAGAGGTGATACATGGAGCTGAGAGGTGATACATGGAGCCGAGAGGTGATACATGGAGCCGACAGGTGATACATGGAGACGAGAGGTAATACATGGAGCCGAGAGGTGACATATGGAAGAGAGAAAGGAAGGGAAGAAGGGTGGGGAGGAAAGGAAGATCTTCAAGAGAGAGAGAGAGAGAGAGAGGTAATATGAACAAGGGACTGAGGCAAGAGGTCCAGCCTGGCTCTTACATATAAAACCTCTATCGAAGAGAGTATTATGTGTGTGAGTGTGTGTGTGAGTGAGTGAGTGTGAGTGGGTGTGTGAGTGAGTGAGTGTGAGTGTGTGTGTGTGATTGGGTGCGTGTGTGTGAGATGGTTGCTATAGTTAACATAACCAGCGCTTCTTGACCGGTGCTAATGCTCTTCAAACTGACCAATGAGAAAGCTTTTGATACTCTATGAATAACCTTAAACCCTCGTTGATTGGTGGAGGGGTTGTGTTGATGCTCTCAGCCTTGACAAAGAAAGGCGTCAAGCGTGTGACTGGCGGGTGGCTAACAAGCGGAGAATGTTGACTAAAGTTGAAATAAACTCGTATATATTTATTTTATTTTTATTTTTATTTATTTTATTGTTTGTAAGTTGAGGTGTAAATAATTATATCTAGTGTATTTTTAGTAAGCATTTTGGTCTCACCTGAAGATTAGACACCCTAGTTTATTTCACATGATGATTAAACAACCTAACCTAACCCAACCCAACCTAACCCAACCTAACCTAATCTAACAAAACCTAACCTATCACTCTGTCTTGGTAAAATAGTAATTAATTATATTATTTTTTTCTTTATCTCTGAGAGCCTTGAGAGAGAGAGAGAGGGAGGACACTTATCATATCCCCCCTTGTGAATTATCTCGGGTATGACGTCATAACCTCGACAGTTGTCTTGAGTGTGGCGTCATACTTTCAACAGTCATAAGAACATAAGGAGTCTGCAATAGGCCGGTTGGCCTGTGCATGGCAGCTCCTGTCGAGAGTTACTACCACTCTCTATCATCCATGAATCTATCTAGCCTCCTTTTGAAACTTTCCAGCGTTCCAGCACTTACTACAAAATTGCTAAGCTTGTTTCACTCGTCCACCACCCTATTTGTGAACCAGTTCCTTCCTATCTCCCTCCTAAACCTAAACTTATCCAACTTAAGTCCGTTGCTCCGAGTCCTATCCTGCTCGGATATTATATGAACTTTATCTATGTCCCCTTTATTGATTCCTTTCACCCACTTAAATACTTCTATCATATCTCCCCGCACTCTTCGTCTTTCTAGGGAATGCAAGTTAAGTTTCTTTAACCTATCCTGATATGGAAGGTTTCTAAGTCCCGGAATCATTTTAGTCATTCTTCGCTGCACCGACTCTAGTGAATTTATATCCATTCTATAATAGGGGCACCAGAATTGAACCGCATAATCGAGGTGTGGCCTGACTAGCGCAAGATATAGTTGCAATAAGACCTCTGCACTCTTGTTACTTACACTTCTAGATATAAAACCTAGTAACTCTCGACAGGAGCTGCCATGCACAGGCCAACCGGTCTATTGCAGACTCCTTATTTTCTTATGTTCTTATGTTCTCTGTTTGCATTATTTCGAACATTAACGCACTGTTTTCTAGGCCGTAGGTCTGGGCTTACAAATACCCCTAAGTCTCTTTCACAAGTCGATTTCTCTAGGTTGATGATGTGAAGGCTGTATACATTGACAGTATTTGTTCTTCCAATATTAAGTACGCTGCACTTGCTGGTGTTGAATTTCATTTGCCATTTTTCTGACCACTCCTGCAGTTTATTTAAATCTTCCTGTAGTGCATTTGCATCCTGCCCTGAATTAATCTGCCGCTCTATTTTGGTGTCATCCGCAAACTGGCTTATGTCACTGCTGATCTCAGTATCTAGATCGTTTATGTAGATTATGAACAAGAGTGGGCCTAGTACTGACCCCTGGGGAACCCCACTGGTTACACGGCCCCACTCAGATTTCACACCATCTACGGCTCTACACTGACCCTCTGTGTTCTATCGGTGAGCCATGATTTTATCCAATTTAAAACTTTCCCCTCGATACCATGAGCCTTAACTTTTCTCAGAAGCCTCTGATGCGGTACTCTGTCAAACGCTTTGCTGAAGTCTAAGTAAATAACATCGTAATTTTCGTCATTATCTACTACCTCGAAGACTTTCCTAAAAAACGTCATACCCCCCCATGAGTTATCTCAAGTGTGGCGTCATAATCTCCACAGTTGTCTCGAGTGTGACGTCATACCCCCCCCCATGAGTTATCTCAAGTGTGGCGTCATAATCTCCACAGGTGTCTCGAGTGTGACGTCATACCCTCCTTGTGAGTTATCTCGAGTGTGACGTCATACCCCCGTGAGTTATCTCAAGTGTGGCGTCATAATTCCAATAGCACAGCCCGAGTGTGACGTCATACCTCCTTGTGAGTTATCTCAGAGTGTGACGTCGGTTCCCCGTGAGTTATCTCAAGTGTGGCGTCATAATCTCCACAGGTTGTCTGAGTGCGTGACGTCATACCCCAGGAAGTTACATTCCTCGAGCGTGACGTCATACCCCCCGTGTGAGTTATCTCCGCGTGGCGTCATAATCTCAGCACAGTTGTCTCGAGTGTGACGCTCATACCCTCCCAGGAAAGTTATCTCGAGTGTGACGTCATACCCCCGTGAGTGCTATCTCTCGCGGTAGCGTCATAATCACCAGTTGTCTCGAGGTGACGTCATACCCCCCGTGAGTTATCTCAAGGTGGCGTCATAATCTCCACAGTTATCTCGAGTGTGACGTCATACCCCCCCCGTGAGTTATCTCAAGTGTGACGTCACTGATGATGCAGTAACAAATATTCTTATTAATAATGACTCTATTAACAATGCACTTAATTAACCGGACCTCTGCGGCACCCGGAAGATGGGTCGGTAACATCCCAGTATGTGTACCGCTATTTTGTCTAGTTTCTGCTCTCCCTAACTTTCATTGTCTATACTCTCTAAAATTAATTTATTCTCATATCTAGGTTAAGTTAAGCTATCCTATTTTAAGCTAAGCTAAGCTAAGTAACTAACTGACTAACTTACCCCTCCCCCCTTTTTCTCCCGGGCAGGTGAGTCGTGTGGGCGTGGTGGTGGTGGTGATGGGGGCGTGGCTGGCTGGTGGTGGACGGGTCTTGGCCAATCACAGCCAGTGTGACGTGCAGGCCCTCCGCTGTGACGTCATCTGCGCCTTCCCTGACCTTGGCCTTCACTGTAGCCGCTGTATTCGGAGGTCAGTAGCCTGGGGTACGAGGTCGTGGGTCAAAGGTCATGTGGGTCATATCTGTCAAGTGTTATGATTATTATGTCATGGGTCGAGTGTGTCGTGTCAGGTGTCTAAGGTAATATATGTGTACCAGAGGTTATCTATATATATATATACAGTATATATGTAAATATATATATATATATATATATATATATATATATATATATATATATATATATATATATATATATATATATATATGCAAGTAAATCACTGTAGGTGCGCGTGATCTAGGTATATGCTGATAACCACAAGGAAAGAAGAAAACACGAAGTTCCCAAGCGCTTTCATGTAATTACATCTTCAGGGGTTGTGCATTTATAAAAGTTCCTTGCAAGGAATGTAATATGTTTTACTTAGGCCAGACAGGTGTGATCTTGTAACTTAAACAACACAAATACAGTGTTAGGACAGGCCAGGAATCCAATGCTCTGTTTGTTCATTTGAGGGATAACAAGCATTGCATTGACTGGGATAATGCCTCCTCAATATTACCATGTAAGTCAATTGACAGTAGGAACATCATAGAATCTAGTCTTATTAAACATACCGAAGCATTCAACATGAATTTGAGTAACGGCATGTACAAGCTGGACAATTTTGTAATTAAGAAGATTTGTGATCAAGTGAGAAGGCCGGGTCACTTGACCATCTGACCTGACCACCAACCGTTGTGTGCTATTTAAAGATTAGTAGGGTCATTACCTAATACCTGACCATTGTGGACCTGGTCTCACCCTCCTCTGTATATATACACCTTGATTTGTATTACTCTCTCTAGTCTGTACTCACCCCTGAAGATGTGAATTACACGAAAGCGCTTGGGAACTTCTGTGTTTTCTTCTTTCCTTGTGGTTATCAGCATATATATATATATATACAGTATATATGTAAATAATAATAATAATAATAATTAACGGTTTATTGAAAGAGCATGGCAGCCAGAAGGCTGCGTGTATGTGTGTGTGTGTGTCCTTAGACAATAACTTACATTTTATGTAGCTTAAGATAGTCTGAAGATAGTCAATGTATTAATTATAGTAACCTGACAATACTTGCTCCTCTTCTCTCTCCCTCAGGCGACCTATGAGGTTCGGTAAGAGAAGCGGAGAACCACCCAGAACCTTGAGCGTGGCGGCGACGGGGAGCCCTCTGGTGGCGGTCATCTCTCACCCAGGACCTACCCACCTGCAGAAGACCAAGAGCCAAGACCCCGGCCAGTCCGGGTTAGCGAGCTCCACCGTGCAGTACAAGAGAACTTCGGGGGTACACGACGCAGCCCGACCTGTCGTCAGCTCAAGTCTTCGTCAGCTGATCAACAAGGTCCTCTGGAATGAATACACCGCCAGGAAGACTCTCCCGTCAGGGGACCGACAGCAGGAGGCTTACAGCAGCCAGCTTGGACGATACGTCTCAGACTTACAAAGTGAACTTGGCCCCGACTATGATGACTCTACTGAAGGTGTTGAGTATGTTAGCGTCATGCGGAGTCGTCGAAGTCCTCACCACACGTTAGACAACCTCGGGTCCGGAGGAGTACAGAGTGACGGGAGGTTCCCTGTGGAGAGGAGGTCGAAAAGATCGGGGGTGCACGAGGTGATCGAGGGCCTGATGGACCTGCTGGGTCTGGACGAGCTGCCAGTAGACCCCACACTGTACGGCTGTTATGAACTACTCCTCGACTAGCACCAGCCACCGACTTCCCTCTACCACAATTATGCTCAATTTACGTTGAATTTATAATATAACAATGAACATTGTTTGTACCTTAACACTGACACACGTTCCTCACTGGCAGATGTGCAATAGTAGTGATTAATAATGAACAGGACAAGTATCAGTCGCTGGCAGCCTGGCAGTAGTGACCTCAACACACAGATGGCGCCACCATTACCTCTCTCACACTGAACATTCTTGTATATTTATTTTCACCGTCTCAGCATCAGAGAACTTTCTAGGTACATAAAGGAATGGCACTTATTAATGAACATTTAGTAAAAAAAAAAGTTTAAAAGCATCATCTTGATTGGGTATACTGTAGTCTTCAATAACAAACTCGTAAGTCATTTTTGGAGTATCGGAAACCCCTTCTCAAATAGAGGCTGTAAGTCATGTTGAGGACCGTGTGGTGTTGATATACATACATACATACATACATACATACATACACGTAGTCACAGTTTCTCAAGATAGAAACATTTAGGGTTGACTGTCAGCTTGGCGTCCCCTGCACAGAAGGTCTGGGAGTGGCTACAGGGCCTGAGGCTGGCTGAGAAGGGCTTTCCGTCCTCCATATTCCTCTTAATTATTAAACTAATTAATTACGCGCTTAAAGACTTTATAATGTTGAGGCGTACTGATAAGATAACATCACCACCTTGCACTATATCTATCAGTTCTGTAAGCTGATTCGTGCATTCTGTCAGTTTTCTCTTGTACTTCTGACGGTATTTAAACTGACAGAAGGTTCTTTGGTGACAGACAGCTGACGATCCAAATAGAAGCTGACACTGTTTGGAAAAACGTATATATACAGTATAATAACCTTGCTGGAAACTGTCTTTGAAGTTATTAGACTCATTAGGCAAAATTCGTCTTTGTTTCACTCTCAAGAAATTTTTTTGACGGAAAGTGACGAGGCTATTTGTGTAGCTACAGGAACACGTAGGTTTGTATTGCAGGTCATTTACCATATATCAGGGCAACAAAATGGATCACCTGGGGATTAACCACCCCACTTTATTTGACCTTCACATTAACCACCCAAGAACGTTATCATAACCCAACCTACCGTAATCTAAAGCTAAAGTTAACCTAATCTAAAATAACGCGAACCTAATCTAACAACATAGCATAACATAACCTAAACGAATCTAACACTTAACCTAACCTAACCTAACCTAACCTAACCTAACCTAACCTAACCTAACCTAACTTAACACTAACGTAACACTAATCTAACTTAACATTACTTAAACTAACCTAATATAATCTAACATAACCTAACCTAACTTAACACTAATCTAATCTAACCTTACCTGAACTAAACTAACATAACATAATCTAACCTAAACTAACACTATCCTAACCTATCCTAACCTAACCTAACCTAAACTAACACTATCCTAACCTAAACTAACACTATCCTAACCTAAACTAACACTATCCTAACCTAACCTAACATAATCTAACCTAAACTAACACTATCCTAACCTAAACTAACACTATCCTAACCTAAACTAACACTATCCTAACCTAACCTAACCTAACCCCTCTAGGTACCAAGAGGTGGTGTAATCATCAGGTGAACTAAACTAGAGGTGTTTAATCTTCAAGTTATCCAAAAAAAATACTCTGTTCTGTATAACTTGTCCTTAACTCAATAAACTTGTGTAAAATAATAAAAATAATACCGAATGAAAATAAAATACAAGCAAATAACATAGTTGTCATTCTCCTTCCTTACTGTAATAGTGAGTCGATTGATAAAATGATTTTGTATTATATTTCAAACGTAAAGAAACGCTGTATATTTTCAACGTTATCATATAAATACATTTAATAATACAGTTCTTGTGAGTTCATAAACAATACAAAATGATTGACAACCCTTAACTACATGATTGACACCTTAACTACTTGGTTCATCTGTGCAAACGAGCCATCCGTCATTATCGTTTGTCCAAAACAACTTATTTTACCAATTTAATTATCTCTCTCTTAACATCATGTCAGTTATTATATGTACAATATGACTATGTTAGATGAGCCAATATCCTAACAGATTTATTAATTTAAACTGAAAAGAAGCGATAAGAACCAGACTACTAGAGGGAGGGAGGCGAGGTGAAGATGGTCAAGACAGTCACTCACACCAGTCAGTGAGGAGTGTCGCGCCCTGGTGGAAACACGTCTTTATTTGTTAGTGTGTTTATCAAGTATTGGTGAAGATTTCTTGTACTGTCTACTGTTGAGTTTCTAAGGTGAGTTAATGTGTTTTAATTATGTTTATTGTGTTACTGGTGGGTGTTTGACTTTCAGTTGGTGTTCTCGATGTTGTTAGCCACTTAATTCTAGCCTTGGTTTAAATCTTCTCATTGTTTATATTTCTCAACACTTAAAGTTAATCCTTTTTACATTTTCAATTTAAGTATGAATTAAACTGTTAAACACGTGCTATTATCCCAGGGTTTAGGTAAGGCTTCTGCTATGAATATTTTTGTAGGTTAGGTTAGTTTTGAATGGTGTTTCCTATCTGTGTAGTCATCGGGCAACGCTGATACACCTAACCTATCGCAGCCTAACGTAACGCAACTAACCTAACTAAAGTAACCTAATCGAACTTGACTAAATCTCCACTATAACTTAACTTAATGTAGCCTAATCAAGTCAAATCTAACCCCACGTAATTGAACGCAACCTAACCAAACGAGAACTTTTATGTACAGTACTTCAGTCTACATCCAGTCGAGGATAAAAGGTCAAACTCCCCGGGGTTAAGCGAGGCGCGGGACCCAACATAAATTTTTCGGGCGCGGCCGATTTTTATCAAGGAGGCGATGCTGCTGTAGTCCGGTAGGGATTAAGCTTTTGACCCCGATTCCTAAGTAGATAATGAAAGCATTTGTTCTTGTAGATTCAATTCTTGCTAAAAAGAACTACCTTGTAAAGATCTTAAATCTAGTTTTTATCTCTGAACGATTCTTCCTTTTTACCGCCACAGTAAAACGCTCTTAAGGTCGAGGGTTTGATCTTCAACCTTGGAACGCGAGCTTGGTGGATTATATTTACCTTGATGCAGATTTAGACTTTTTTTTGTATACAAAGTATGATACTTTAACACAGTTGAAACTATCCTAATACTTGGATAACCTGAACTTCACTTGTTCTTAAGGTGTTGGGTTTCGACTTTAAACTAAAATTTTGCGCGTATGGTGTTTACTAAAAGGTGTAAATGCCTGATACTCGTTTTTATAACTTGTTGGCCTTCACGGTCTTATAGGTGTATAAATTATCTTTCATGACCATAACTAGTCTTTAATATCGCTAGGGAACTGTATATTGTATTAAGGTGACTATGTATTTTGTATTCTTACGGTTAGATCGTATCCTAGTTGATCCCCCCACCCCCTTTAACAAGATTCAGAAGTCTTATTTAATGTAACTTAAACTCCAGGTAGAATTTGGTATCGAATGGCTAAAATAAACCGGGGTTAATTTTTAGTTGATTCTGATGTTTTGGGTATTTAATATCCAGGACCAAGGTATTGTGAAGGTTCACTAACCCGAATTCGGCTGAATAATTCTTTGAACGTTGATTTATTGGTGTAATTTTCGATTTGGCTAACTGGATGATTTGGTGTGCAGGTTTGCGGGAGATATGGACTACTACCACCACAACAGCCCTGGCAGGAGGCATGTAAGTGTATCTGCTATCTGTTCATTGTTTGTTCATTGTCAATGTGTTTAGTTTGTACCCTGGCCGCTGTTAGTTAGTACCCTAGCTGTTCGTCCCTGCGGTCGGGCAAGTAACCTTGAAACCGTCTCTTCACATACCGTGATTTTAGTAGTGGGTATATTGTCAACCTCGTTTAACTGTAAATAATAAAAGTTATATTGTATACAGGATGAGAGCAGAGATAAGATAGCCGCTAAGGTTCAAAGGTTGTTTAATCATTATCGCCATTTTACTGGAAGTTGCAGTAGATACGTACGGTTCAGGTTAATTATATATTGAATAACCTTTTGCAAGGTTTAGTTAAAATATATGCCGAATGAATCTAAATTAGAGGTTTTTAGAAGTGAATATAAAGGTTTGGCTATGCTATTAGGCTAGGGCTATGCTATTAGGCTAGGGCTATGCTAGGCTGTATCTTGACATTAATTTATTGCTTCGTAAAAAAAACCCCACCCCGAACTGTTACATGTGGTTGATGTTTGAAGGATACCACGGACAGTATTGTCGTTTACCTGCTACTTACTGTGGCTGGAAGTCTGAATTTCCTAATCTAGATTCTAGACCTATATATGTATAAAGGGAAGATGTCAAATTGACAGCGTTTTATATGAAGCGATACGTTATCTTTTTCCTTGGTTCTCCTGTACACTGAAATGGCAATTATTGTGGTTACTTCTTTTCATTATTATGGATTCATTCTTAATTACCTTTTACTTCTATTGCATATTTTTTCACTTCGGTTTTATTTATTAATGTTTCTCCTGTCCTCAGAGCTTGCTGGACGTGACTCAAACTCAGAAGTGGCGCCCTCGCAGTAATTCTATGAGCGTGATGGATGTTACTAACTTTACACCGAACATTAGGTACGGTAATACCGCCAGCAGGTACGATGCTATTGCCATGAAGTAAGATACTGCCACCTTGAAGTACTAAGGGTGTGTGGAGGTATCGTTGGCGAGCAGTGGGGGGGGAAGGGGGTTGGAGGAGGTAGGGGGGGGGAATAGTATGGAGGAAGAAAGATGAAATTGTGTAGATAGTGACCAGTGAGGAGTAGTGTAGGTAGTGGCATCGTTGGAGGAAGTCGGTAAGTACTTGGGTGGGTGGAACAAGATGGGTGATAAGGATAGTGTTCAAATTGGGAAGGAGGACGTGATAAGAGCAGCTGTACCCGTTAACTGTAAGGATGTCGGGTACCACACTTGGCTACCAGGTAACCCAATTAAGGTGTAGATTGGTACATGGTAACTGTGTGGGCGGGTGTTAGGAAGCATGTCTGGGTTACGTCTGCATGGAAATTAATCTGACGTATTTACTCACTACCTAGTAAGATTTTTTACAAGGTTAGGGTAGATACTGTCGGGCCTACTTAATTTAGATAGGCTGGTGTTTTCACGGAATTGGTTAGGTCTGTCTTAAATACTACCAACTAATGTAGGTTATTACCCTTCGTGTTGGTCGACATCAGCGGGTTGACTAACAGACGCTGCTCTGCTACGCCCTGCACCACGCCCTGCTTCGTCAGTCCTCGCATGGCCTTCTCCACACAGTTCTCCTACGACTCTCCCATCCAGGTAAGTTCTTGATCGTTCATACCTTCTACACACTAGTTTTTGGATCACCTGAAGATTCGCCATTCTACTTAGCTCATAGCACCTGATTAAAAACACATTAGCGTTACCCAAGGCTTCTATTTGATTAGGGTGAATCTTTAGGTGGAATAAGCTGGGGATTAATGTTATCGTGAAATTAATTTCTTGGCAGATCTTGACGTCAGATTCGACACTCTCACCTCGGGCTGTTTCGAAGCTTCAAAACCGTTACTCGCTCAGGAACCTTCCCAAGCGGTACAAGACCGTCCTTATCATCCTGTTGTCTACACTGGCAGCCGGTCTCTTCCTCGCCAGGACGTTCGGCGGTAAGAACCACAGTATAACAATACTACTATTGGGAATGAACATTATGATGGCTTTACGGTCCTGGGCCAAGTTGCCTTGTGTTTACTATTGTTTCTATACCTGTTTGTCCTCGTGTGATTATGAGGGGGAGGGGCCAGGTTTAAAGTAGGAAAATAATAAATGATTGTTTTCAGAGAGAGCTGGACAAAAGACCGTCTCCAGCCGGCAGTACTGTGGCGATAACGACCCTGACTGTTTGAATGATGACGAGAAGGCCCATGATCACCCCAGCCTTAAGGTTTTGAGTTTTCGTGAATAATAATAGTTTATTGAAGGAGCATGGCAGGCAGAAAAGTTACATAATTAGGGAATTGGTCACTTGATTGACAAATATAAAAAGTAACGTAAGTTATGCAAATGAACAAATATCTAGGTGGAGGGGTTCTGCAGCGTGTGTTGGGCAATGAGTGTGTGTGTGTGGGGTTCAAGGTGATCGGTCATGATCTGCGGTACTTTGATCCTCGGCGGTACTTCAATGGGTTTTCTAGATCTGAGTATCATTGCAGTGTGACAGGACTAGCAAGATCGGCTAAACGGGGGGGGGAGAGAGAGAGAGAGACTTGACAGGAGTTTATGAAGGCGGTGTGAATACTTTTATTACAGCACCATTATTGTCTTAACTATCGGCTTTCACACCTCGACAAGGTACAATGTTGAGGGTGTTGGTCCATCATGCGTGATCCGTGGGGGGAGTCTGGCGGTGTTAAGTTCTTCATAGACCGCCTCGCTGCGGTCTGTTAGTAAACTGATTTAAAACCGCCGTACTATCGGTTAAACAGCATTGTTTAACTCCCTTCATTTAACAAACTCCTGAGTTGACTGGTCAAAACAGATGGACGTTAATAAACGCGTCTTCATGTAAAAACTTTGAAATATAGAGCCGACTTGTCGTGTTTCAGTAGTTTGTTGGCGGAAGGAACTGCACTTGTAACTGCTGTAATATTAGTCGAATGGAAGGAGTAAGGATTTTTGGCACTCTACACGGGGTTCTCTTTAACACTGCATATACAAGATAATTTAGTGTTTATAGCTCTTCAATTTAGCTGCTGGCGCACTTCTAAAACCTTTGTGGTATTTACAGCGGTTCATGAGGTCGGTGAAACGGCCAACGCACTACCACAGCCTGACCTCTGACCTAGATAATCTGGAGGTGGAGACGGGGTACGCGGGGCACCTAACTGAGGCCCTGCCATCACACGAGAAGGAGGAAAACTTTGATGTATCGGTGTTGCTCGAGGATGTTGATACGGACATGCAACAGCTTCAGTCGGACGGATACTTGGAGGAGGAAGATGATGGTGATGCCGCCAAGGAACCGCTGCACACGATTATGTCCGAGGAACTCGCCGAAGTAAAGTCTCCCGAGGCAAGGTTTACACAGAAGAGGAGGTTTATGGTGGTACAAGGAGCTTACGTGGAAGCCGAGCAGCAGCAGCAAGATGTACAAGAATACCCATCAGAAGTTGAACAGGTTGGTCTACACAGCGAGGACGGATCTAATGTGCAAGAATATGATGTACAAGAATATGATGTACAGGGACGGTTTGATGGTTCTCGAGTACAAGACGATGGTAGTTTTGTACAGCAGTATGGCGGACAGGGCGAGTACATGTATGTGCATCAGACTGGCCAAACTAATGTAAGGGAAGGCGAGGAACAAAATGGTCGCCAGCCACAGGATGTCATAGTAGACCGGCAGACGTCAGGGCAGAGGAACGAAGAACCCGGAGTCCAGATGATGCAAAATGAGGGCCAAATTATCCAGGAATCTCTGCGTGACAGCCAACGTGCTAGACTGCGTGCTGACCACCACCACCGCCAGCAGCACCACCACCGCCAGCAGGAGGAACACAGGAATGCCAAACCCCGAACGGGACCTGAACCACACCGCCGTCAGGAGAGACCATCACAACATCCTCGGGAACAGTCGGTGAGAAAGATCAATCGAGGACCACTGAACAGACCGCAACAGATGGGTGGGTCGAGAGGACCGCTTGAGACCGATAGAAGACCGCGACAGGAAAGATTACCTCCAGGCGTCCACCCTCGCAGATACAAACACGCAGAGCTGTGATCACTTACTTTATCATTGCAAGTAACTGAACCTTTGTCAGTTCAGAAAGTTCGCAAGGAAATTACAGGAAATTAATTATTTTTAAACCGGTTTTTAATATTTTAATGTATGGATGTAAAATAAATGCCTGTTTTTTGTAATAAATTTTTAAGTTATAGTGCGTTTATTCTTGACACTGGACAGGCATGATGATTAAATGTGGAAGTTTAGTAAGGATAAGTTACAGAAATCAATTGAAACCTGGATCTGAAGTATGTACTAGATATCTTGTCTAAAATAAAAAGGGTGGGGAAATGATCCTACAGGAGAAATCATTACAGCAAATAATTCCAGCTAACAAATGGTGGAAAGTTTCTACTTCGTCTTGCCTGCGAATATCATTCACGAGTCTGTTACGGTGTAGGAAAGTAATGGATAACTGGATCCTTACACTGACTGATGAAGAAAGACTTTAGGCAGGAGATCATATTTAAATGATTTGATTCCGTACGGTGACCTTAGGCTCTTCAAAGTGATCGAGCAGCGGGTACCGTCTTTAGTAAAGCCTAGTATGGCAAATGATGCTCGAATCTAAACTCAAAATATGAACTAGTAGGAAGGTTACGGAAAGGTAAAAAAAAAAAAAAAAAAAAGGCATTGATGAGCTTGAAAATATTGAAGTTTAGTCTCGAAGGTGGGTCATATTTATTGTGTGGAGGACTAGTATAAATGAGGTGGATAGGGAGGGAGGGAGGGAAGTTTGAAGTTGTGTTGAAGGAAGAGTAGTTTAAGAGGTTGGAGGGAGGAGGAGGGGGGGGGAAGGAAGGGTGGAATACTCGTTAATTATAACTGGTACTTTATTTCGTGAACAAAGTAATGGGACAGTAAGAGTTATTTTTGAGTTCCTTAGATGGAGTGACTTGAGTGGTGTTGGCTCAAAGGTCGACATTAGTGGCTCCCAACGCCTGCTCCGTACGTCCATCCTTCAAGAATTAAGACACCCGGCTGCCATCAAGTAGGACCTCCAAGGACCACTTAAACTGAACTAGACGCTTAGCAACTTGAGGTAGAGCTTGAGGTAGTAGTCCTGTTGCTAACGCCTTGGAGGACATTGACTGGAGATCCATACAGGAGAGGAGAGACATCAAAGGAAGGCTAGGTTAGCTGAGATTAGGTTAGCTTAGCTACAGACGTCAGGAGTACCAAAGAGTCCATTCCATTGGAGATGAGTCTGGATCTGACAGGCTTGTGGCTTGTAATCACGCTTGAGTACATCCATCACGTACTTAACTCGGTCGATTTCACACTGAGTACAACCACCACAAAGTCGACCACTGTTACGTTGGTCGAGTACAAGAGCTGAGAGGAGAGAGCGTATTAGAGGTTTCTTACCATAATCCACCTGAAGATTAGTCCCCCTCAAAGTTTATCTTGTCTGAACATAATTAACATTGACGCTAACCTAACTTAATGTAATCCTAATGCTGAGCTAACCCAACATAACCTAGGCTAACCTAACAGTCTAGCCTACCCTAACAACCGAATGCTCAGCTAACCAAACCTAACCTGACCTATTTTAACCTAAACAAACCTAATCGAAACTTAATCTATTGTCACTTAACAAAACTGTGTGTGTGTACCGTTGATGGACGGGTTTAGACTTGTATTTCCTTAGAAGAAGAAATCACTGCGTTTGTATTGACTTCTTGTGAAGCAATGAGTCTCTGAATTTTTTTTTATTACTTGTTTATATGAACCTGTTTTAATATTTGTTTAGTTATGCTTACGTGACCCTTTTTTTAATATCTACAGTATGATGTTTAGCTTAAGTTCACGTATTCATGATGTAAATTATCGTGTTCTAAAAGCTTTTGTTAATCATTTTCAGTTCAGGTTTTGGGGTGTAGAACATAAACTGGTAACTTACTTTGAAGAGCCTTGCCGATAGCGGTACAGGGGGTCTTCCCGGTAATACAGTCGGTATAAAATATCACATCACTTTGCTTCTGCATGTTGGTGACCAGTGTAAGGAGCGGCAACTCTGTAAGCGGTGCTCTGAGCTGCTGATGCAAGGATGGTTTTTGTAAATTTGCTGAACTCTCTTGTGGTTTGGCTCCGACAGATACCAACACCAGCGCCACGGCACACGACATAAACAACAAACGCATCTTGACCCTGTTGTTGGAAGTTAATGTTATTGCAAATGTTTATTGAAGACTGGGAATTATATGATGATTAGTTCCCTCCTCATGCAGCTTATTTCACCCGATGACTGAGCCTGGCCCCATGACCTGACTCCCTCACACGAATAAAGGCTAACAGACAATAAGAGACTCAATTCATTTGGGGTTAAAGTTTAGCCAGACACTTATGAATGAAACCTTCAAAGATAACTAGAGGAAATATCGGAACATAACGAAATTAAGATAGTATCAGGGTTTATTACAAGTATTCACGCGATCACGACTAAAATCCTTCAGGCAGTTTGTATACATGTGTCAGACACCCCGAGTACAAGTTCTGACTTACCTGTAAACACGAGAGACGACTTGAAGCAGACAGCACACTCAATACATCTACCTGATGAAGGCTTCCTCTCCTGGTATATATACACAACTTTACGTAGTATAAAAACCATCTTAGAGAAGAGGTTTGTCGTGGTACACTGCTGGCTTTGGCTGCCCCGAACTAGTTTTTGTGTGGATGGCCTACGTGTTGCTCCACCTCTCGTCACCTCACTTTGAAGAGAGATATAGTTCACTTGTCAGTCGGTGATTCTGTTCATGTTAATAGTCGGAAGTTTCTTTTATATTGCTATTGTCTATTACCTAACCTAACACTTAACGTAACCCAACGCTTTAGGTTAGGTTAGGTGACGTCCTCCACTTTTAACCATGAAATTCCTGAATATTTTAGACATTACATAAAATACCTCATTTCATACATTCCCTCTATGGTATAAAATACCCATATCAAGTACCCCCCCTCCCCCAAGAAAACAAAAAAACAAAACACGGAAATTACGTTACAAAACTAATAAAAACAGACAGGAAAAACCACACAACTGAAAGCTACAGACCCACGCCGTTTTATATCACAAAATGAGGATAAAACAGGTAAGATTCTGAGCGACTTCAAGTAACAAGAAAAACTAGATAACATTTCCTGCCTTCGTTGTCCTTACTTAACCATGGTCACTGGAGGAACTTTTGCTTGACATAAGATTTTTTTTTTGGGGGACATTACCTGATGATTAACCCCCTCTATTTTATCCTATGATTAAACACTATTACTGAAGGGGGGTTGTGTTAAGTTAAGTTAGGTTAAGTTAAATTAGTGTTATGTTATGTCTGTGTTAGCTTAGCGTCTAGTTTACGTTAGTTTAGGTTAAGTTTGATTTAGGTTAGGTTAGAATAAGTTAGGATCCTTCATCTTCAAGTGGAATAAACTAGGGGCTAACCTACATGTAAAATAGGCTGTGGGGACTAATCTACAGGTGAAATAAGTTCAAAGGGACTGATCTCCAGATGAAATAAGCTGTGGGAGGTAATCGACAGGTGAAATAAGCTGTGGGAGGTAATCGACAGGTGAAATAAGCTGTGGGAGGTAATCGACAGGTGAAATGAGGTCAAGGGTACGAACCTTCAGGGGAAATAAGGTCATGGAGACGAACCTTCAGGTGAAATAAGGTCAAGGCACTATCATAAAGTGACTCGTGTCTTGACTTACAGGAAACAGCAGAAACATGTTTACTTCTCAAGAACTTTTACCTGACCTCCTTTTCTGCCTGTTTTTGTTCTTGTAATTTTTATTTTTTTTACTTCTTGTTCCTGTTATTATTTTTCTTCGTTGTTCTGGTTTTATTGTTTTTGTTCTTGTTATTCTTGATGTTTTTGTTCTACTACTAATATGTTTATAATCTCTTCCTCCTCCTCCTTTTCCCAGAATGTGTGTGTGTGAGGGGGTGGGGGTAGGTAGGGGGATTGAGTGTGTGTGGGGTGGGGGTAGGTAGGGGGATTGAGGTGTGGGGAATGTGTGTGAGGAGGTAGGATTGAGTGTGTGGGGGAATGTGTGTGTGAGGGGTGGGGGTGGGTAGGGGATTGAGTGTGTGGGGGAATGTGTGTGTGAGGGGGTGGGGGGAGGTAGGGGGATTGAGTGTGTGGGGGAATGTGTGTGTGAGGGGTGGGGGGTAGGTAGGGGGATTGAGTGTGGGGAATGTGTGTGAGGGGGTGGGGGTGGGTAGGGGATTGAGTGTGTGGGGAATGTGTGTGTGAGGGGGTGGGGGGTGGTAGGGGATTGAGTGTGTGTGGGGGTGTGTGTGAGGGGTGGGGGTGGTAGGGGGATTGAGTGTGTGTGGGGGAATGTGTGTGTGAGGGGGTGGGTAGGGGGATTGAGTGTGTGTGGGGGAATGTGTGTGTGAGGGGGTGGGTAGGGGGATTGAGTGTGTGACGTGTGTGTGATGAGTAACAGAGTAGTAACACATTAAATAACATGAATAACACTGAATAAAAGGTCACAGTTAATAATAAGAAAGATATAATGATTATAATCTTTATTCGTGACTGTAATATAACTCAACATAACTGGCTAAGAGAGAAAGAGAGAGAGATAATGAGTGACAACGTTACTCAAGGCTGTCACTCCATCTATAACACTGCCACTCATGTCACTCCCTCTAAAGACAGCCACTCATCACTGCATAAGATTTGAGTTACCAGACAAAGCTACATATTTGGGTGATTGGTAACTCAGTATAATTATCTTAACATGTGATAGTCTTAAGCTGGAAGAAGTCATATATGTTGATTTGCCTCTCGCTCAGGACGTACTGTTCAAGCTCGTCAGACTCAGGCTTGTAGTTGCAGCGGAGGTCCTTCAGGATATGTTGGATACGACGCTTCTGGCAAGGCTGGCAGGTGTAGCAGAGTTCTCCACCGGCGTTGTCTGTTATCAGGTCTGTTGTAGGGGATAGAGGTGGGTGTTAGTATTGACGAGGGAGGGAGAAAGGGAGGGAGGAAAGGAGGGGGTGGAAGACAGAAAGAGAAGGAGGGAGGGAGGAAAGGAGGGGGTGGGAGACAGAAAGAGAAGGAGGGAGGGAGACATAGAGGTAGGGTGGGGAAGAAGGATAGAGGGAGGGAAGGAGAGATCGGGCTAGTGTGGGAGGGAAGTAAGTAGAGAAAAAGAGGGAAGGAGAGATTAAATGAGAGAAGTAAGGAGGGAGAAATCGAGTATAGGATGGAGGGAGAGATAGTGAGTGAGACACGGATGAAGGGAGACAAAAATACGCAGTAGAAGAGAGAGAGAGAGAGGCCTATATGAAACAAGACTCCCCGTACTGTACATATGTAAGTTATCAAGTGGGAACTATCCTGCCTACACACCGTTATGGTACGTGATGCTGTACACTATATAATGATGGAACGTGATGCTGTACACTATATAATGATGGAACGTGATGCTGTACACTATATAATGATGGAACGTGATACTGTACACTATATAATGATGGAACGTGATGCTGTACACTGATGCTCCTTAATCATGTACAGTACAATTACACAGGTACTTACGTTGTAGAGACTTGCCGATACGAGTACACTCTTTGCTGTGGATAACGCAGTCGAGATGGAACCTTACGGTATTCTGGTTACTCAACAAGGTTCGAATCCCAGATGCTGTTTCCTCCAGGAGCGGAAGATAGAGTTCCTCTGTGCCTTTCCTGAGAAGAGCCCTAAGGTCAGTTTCCTCCTGTTCGGTACATACCAGGTTATCCTCTTGACAAAATACATTCGCTACCATCATCGCCATCACCACCATCACTACGGTCATGGAAGGTCTCATCTTGGTTGTTGTGATGACCTGGTTGTATAGAGAAGAGGTTGTTCATATTATGTAGGATTGGGTTTGGTTGTGTATTGGAGGAAGGGTTGTATTGTGCGTGTTATTTATAAGGGGATTGTGGGTAAAAGTAGTGTATTAGTTGTGTGTGTCGATATCCCTCTCAAACATAAAGATAAAATATCAAGTAACTAATAAACTTAAGTATAATGTTTGTAGGACTCAACAAACTGCCTTGAGGTACAACTGTTTTACAATACTCAAATGCCTTAGTGTGAAATGTTGCTCGCTCATAAAACCATTTGGTACAGGTATTGGAAAACTATCTTAAACTACCTACAGAAGACGCTGACAATGTTAACTTCAGGTGAGGATGGTAGTGCTGGTTACTGTGTCACGGCAGATGTGAGGACAGGATGCAAGACCCACTGTTTATATACCCAGCCATTGACTCGCACACAATGGACGACACAAGAACTGGTTTTGTCGATGGAGAGTTGCTTAAGGATAAATATGTGGAGAAAAAAATTTCTTTAAGAGCAAGTGATTTTTTGTTTACGAGAAAAAATAAGAGAATACATGCCTTCTCATACACACACACACATCTACAACGCCTTTATTCTCCCCAAACTTACATATGCGTCACCAGCCTGGTCGTCTTCTCTCAACTCCACCCAATAACGTCAGCTAGAGAAGGTACAGAAAAGGGCCTGCAGAATCATGCTCGGCGCAGAATACTCCGGCTACATCAACGCTCTCTCCACCCTGGAAATGCCATCCCTCAGTGACCTCCACCACCAAGCACTGGAAAGGTTTGGCCGTGGACTACTGCACCACCCTCGCCATCGCCACCACCTGCAGCCCCCCACCCAACTCGCGTAGTCCGCCACTACAACAAAATTCAGCCCATAAGAGCCCGCACCGATAGATACAAGAACAGCACCATCCCATCTATTGTTAAAATAATAAACAACAACTGATTTATGTACTGTACAGTCCTGTAAATGTATTCAATGCATATTATAGCGTTATGTCTAAATCAAATGTAAGTCTGTATATTTTCAGCCACCTGCTGCAACTCTATTAATAAACCGTTTATTATTATTATTATTATTATTATTATTATTATTATTATTATTATTATTATTATTATTATTATTATTATTACACACGTTTTGTGAGGTTCATTTTAGGTCAATAAAGAAAGCGTGAATATCCTAGCTAGTTAAGCTGACCTAACTTAACCTGGGTGTTCATATGAGCATTTTACACACACACACACACACACACTGGGTGTGATCGGCTGACGCGAGAGAGTGACGTGGGAAGCTGTCGTGAGAAGCTGACGTATGTAGCTGACATGAGAGGCTGACATTATTCTATACCTACCCGCGTCAGCCTATGACATCAGAGGTTCAGCCGCGTCTTAAGCGAAACAAAACAAAATAATTGTATCACTCACTCGTAATACACCTTTTCACATATACGCTGAGACATTGTTATATACCTATTTGACATACTTCATAACTGTTCGTTCATGTTAACAGAAATGATTGACAAAGGTTATGAAATTGACTGACGTGAACAATACACCGACAGTCTGCATGCAGACTGTCGGTGTATTGTTCACCATAACGAAAGTTTAATTCACTTCCTGACAACTGATTTAGGACACTGGAGAAACTAATGGGAGTTCTTATGACACTTATCTGCAGTGGAACAGGTTAGATGATGGGAAATAATTATATATAAGATTTTTACTTTATTTTGCCTGTTCATCATCTTGTACAGAAATTTGTATTGAGAATTAATGTACAGTATTTCACTTTCTCACTCCCTCTCTCCTCCAATCACCCTCACTCCCCTCATCGCCATCTCAGTCAACCTGCCTCTCATTCATCATCTCCCTGCCTCTCATTCATCATCTCCCTGCCTCTCATTCATCTCCCTGCCTCTCATTCATCTCCCTGCCTCTCATTCATTATCTCCCTGCCTCTCATCTATCTCCCTGCCTCTCATCTATCTCCCTGCCTCTCATCTCTCCCTGCCTCTCATTCATTCATCTCCCTGCCTCTCATTCATCTCCCTGCCTCTCATTCATTATCTCCCTGCCTCTCATCTATCTCCCTGCCTCTCATTCATTCATCTCTCTGCCTCTCATCCATCTCCCTGCCTCTCTTCTCCCTGTGACACGATAAGCTCTTTGTATTGTTATCGCTTGAGGCTGTGTTTGTTCTAGTTCACATTGTGTATTGGTGTGAGTGCTGCCATGACACACACACAGGTAATGGTTCTAGGATAAACTTCCACAGTTTGTGAAATTGTGGAAAATATTGTGTCTAGCCTTTTTTGACGGATCTTCGATATAACGTTTAATAGTCCGGTATATAGAGGTTTTATATCTAATAATTCTCCGATATAACGTAAAAATAGCTCGTTATATGAAGGTTTTACTGTTTGTAGAAGACTCTCTCTCTCTCTCTCTCTCTCTCTCTCTCTCTCTCTCTCTCACCTACCAATAAATGCATAAATAGACCTCTGGCAACCCTCACCCTCTAGGTACACTACAGCAGGTCACTTGATGCAACACAGCAACAGTCACCCCTCAGTTGTCAGAGGGGGACGATTATAGAGAGTTCCTTACCATTTTTTTACAACTATTAATTTAAAAGGGGATCACCTAACCTAACTTAACTTAAAATTATGCTAATTTAACGTAATGCTTAACTTAACCTAGCACTGAACCTAACCTCACCTAATCTATCGCTAATCTAACCTAACTTACCCAACTTAACTAAATCTAATTAACCTAACCTAGTCATTAGTCAAACATTGCTTAAATTTAAATGAACACACACACACGAGGTAAGGATGACGACAGCATCTCTGTAAGAAGTGGTCTGGTCAACCCTCACTTCTTATGTCCTGATTTTTTTTGGAGTGTTTTTACTATCTGCCAGCAACTGCATGGCACGCATACACACACACACACACACACACACACACACACACATACAGAATCCCATCAGAAGTGGATGTACTTGGCGCCGCTGATGTTAATTGCCAGAGCCAGTCTGTAAGGTTCCCTCCCCCTTCCCCCTCTCCTCCTTTCTCCCCTTTCCTCTCCCCATCTCCCCCCCTTTCCCCTCCCGATCCCCCCCCTTCCCTCTCCCTCCCTCCCCACCAGGATTCATTAACACACTAACACAGCACAATAATTGGCCTTTAACCCACAATAAAACATAAAAGTTACAATTTCAATCAGAATAAAAACAAAGAGACGGCGCTCTGTGGTCACTCGTCGCAGCCCCCACGACCTTCCACACTCCGCTACAACAGGAGAGATACATTAGGTCTCCCAGCTTCACTAAGCGAGAAGTAAGAACTCTCTCCAACACCCCATGTGAGCTGAGAGACCTACCAAGACCACGTGATTGGTATGAGAAACAAGACCACGTAATAGGTGTGAGAAACATATGGATATTGTGACAGTAGAAGGGAAGGTGTGATCAGGAGAGAAGGTGTGGTCAGTAGGGAAGGTGTGGTCAGGAGAGAAGGTGTGGTCAGAGAAGGTGTGGTCAGGAGAGAAGGTGTGGTCAGTAGGGAAGGTGGTCAGGAGAGAAGGTGTGGTCAGTAGGGAAGGTGTGGTCAGGAGAGAAGGTGCGATCAGGAGAGAAGGTGTGGTCAGGAGAGAAGGTATGGTCAGGAGAGAAGGTGTGATCAGGAGAGAAGGTGTGATCAGGAGAGAAGGTGTGGTCAGGAGAGAAGGTGTGGTCAGGAGAGAAGGTGTGGTCAGTAGGGAAGGTGTGGTCAGGAGAGAAGGTGTGGTCAGGAGAGAAGGTGTGGTCACTAGGGAAGGTGTGGTCACTAGGGAAGGTGTGGTCACTAGGGAAGGTGTGAGCAGGAATGTCCTAAATGTGGCACCTCCTCTACCAGGGAAGGTTCTGGGTGACCACACCATCACCTTTGACAACAGCTTACAACACCGACTCTTCTATAACCTTTGAGAACACTACAGCCTCTATAACTTGCTATAACCATTGAAAAGACAAAAGCCTTTATAATTTAACTTGTTTGTTCACTCCAAGTTGTTTTTATTTTTGTACTGAAACCTTTTGTCAATGATAATGTTTTGGCTGCCAAGTTCTTTTGAATAAAATTGTAATAATTATTATTACTACACACACACACACACACACACACACACACACACACACTACTACTAGGCTACTACTTTTTTTTTTTTTTTTTTTTAACGTGGCCTCCAGCCTCCCCCAATAGCCACACCTTCGCCGCCATTTATTTACCTTAATATTAAATATCCTAATACATAGAAGCTATCCTATCTGTGTTAATTAGTTGAAGCAGATCTATGCGCATTCAGTGACTGTAGCCTCATAGTCATATCTGCAGCAGTTGTCGGAGTAGGGGCAGAAGCTCTCGTTCCCTGAGGCAGAGCAAAGCCGAAGGAGAGAGAAAGACAGTCGACATCTCATCCAGGCTGTAACATAACTTCTGGGCTGCTGCTTCTGTTTGGAGATCAGCTCCGCGAGTCTGGCGTAGAACATCTTGCACTTGCCCATCCCACCAGAGGTTGTGAACACCAGAGGAGTGAAGCTGCCTTGATCAACGTTTTGGATTCTCTCCCCATATGCCCTTATCTTGTCGTTCTCGTTCCTCCTATGTGCAGCATCGAGAGCTAGGTTACGGTGACATGCGGCCATGGGATAAAAAATCCTGATGTCGAAGAAAGCTCGCTTTCCCCGCGTCCAGAATCCTCGAGCACTGACGTCAACACGAACTTCATTAGATGTGTTTGAAGTCCTATGTTGGAAGATCTCACCATCCAATGGAAGGAGGGTCGGTTCTACCATGACATCCCGGCAGATTTCCTTCAACATATTTGCTGTAAGGTCCCTTACTTCGTCATGCCTCATGCATATGAAGCCCCCTTTCTTGCACACCATGGCGTGATCGCCGTCATAGGAAGAGCCACACATGCATTGGGAGGCCAAACCATCTACTGGCCAACCATACCTTAGAGCAATGGCATCTGTAAATTCTTGTTTGTTAATACTGAAACCATTTGCCCTTATCGGTAACATAGTTAACCAATTCGAGGCACCCACCTCCTGCGCTGTAGCTACTTTTTTTCAAATTTTCTGGAACCTGCAGCAACAGTTGCTGCAACTTATCATTTTGGCAGTGCTGTCGATCTGTCGTAATGGACCTACGAATCTCGTTTACTTCACTGGTATCGACCTCCCCTGTTGCGTTCTGGGCTATTATGTGGTCCGTGAGGGCTGCCGTGAGCTTAAGTGAATTTTGATGTTAAGTGGCTGCAATCTCCTCTGGATTGGTTAGTCCCATCCCTCCCAGTCTTGATGGAAGTGCAAGAAGTGCTCTT